CACAATATCACGGGTCTCTCGTATCCTACACACGGGTACAAATACATTTCACATTACTTTACTTTCCTTTTCAAATTTAGTTAAATGTCTGTCAATAACGTACCTTAATCGGTTTATGATAGCGAAATCGGTTTAATTGAGCTTTTAATTTAATTAATACTTTCTATCGGGTACCGAGTTGCATATAGTTGCTAAATAACTTACTTAAGTATAATTTAATTCAATATCAACTCATCTCTTTTGTAAAATGGTGTTTGCCATGCATGTAATAAATAAATAAAATAAATAAATATATATATAAATAAGTACTGTGGCTAAGATGGAAACCGATTTATGATACTACATAATTCTACAGGTGTTTATTTTTTGGTGAGAAGTTTGGAAAAGAAATGTCTACTAAACAAGTTGTACAAACTAAAACTTGTATTGATGTTTGTTTGAAAATAATACATTGTGTACAGTAGAAGGAGCAAAAAATAACCGATTATATATAATAAAACTTAATGATTGTTTATTTGCAGTACGTGTTAAAAAGCGTACCTATTCACTGAGATTTGGTATAAACACTTTATATGGAGAATTATACATCGTTAACACTTTGTAAACCAAGCCTTTTGGAGGCGTTAGTTTGCATTGACTATAGAAGTTTGTGATTTCGACCAGGATTGACAGTGAGTCACGACCGCATTTTAGGTTTGTTATAGAACATAATTCGATTTTAACCGAACCAACAAATATACCTTAACTATTTTTAGGAGGGGACGTTCATGTGCCCCCCCCCCCCCGTAAGCTTGCTCGTCCCGTTACAAACTTGCCGGAATTAGAGAGTTGGCGGTATTCCTGCTATTATAAACATTGCTATTATAAATTAACTCAACCTTACCCCTATGCGGTCCCTTACTTGCACCTTATAGCGTGGTCCTTTCAGCCATAAGTAGGTGCACCAACCTGTGGCTCAAATTAGACTGTACCATGGATTAATCATACTTTCTCACCGGCTGAACATTGTAAATTTAGTTTTGTCCGGTCAGGTAGATGGTGTTTTATTAAAACTAGTTCCCTTTAGCGAATTTCCCTATAGGGAAGTAGCTATTACCGTAGGTGGCACGGCAAGACCTAGGCCCGGGACCGATTTGCTTTTTCATTTTGATGTCCCCAGAGGCCAACAACACCATTCGATCAAATTTGTGTATATGTTATTACATATTGATTTACATATATACGTCCGTGAACACGATAACTTAAGCAATTTTTATTATATATGTGGTTTGAAGGTTTGATTGGTGGGATAAACATGAATGAGTTCGCGAACCAGCATGATCGGACCATGGGGACGGGGTTTTATGGGGTAAAAATAGACTTTTCTCATTTTTGACCCTCGAAACATAAAATTTCCCATTTTTTCTCTAAACCTTCTTAAAAGGCTAAAAAAAACAATTCAGTATATCAAAGTGTTTTTGTACGATTATTGGTTACGGAGAAAACTAAACGAATTGTAAATTTAAAATTCCCATGTTATTCTTATGGAGACTATCGTAAAATGTTGTAGTGTACTTGTTTATAGATATGTTTTGATCAACCATGGCAAATATATTGATTTTATACTTAGCTATAATTATTTTACTTAAAAACACACTTTATTGGTTTTTGGGTGAAAACATCCGTTATCGGAAGGACCGTGAACACAAAACAGTGGTTTTCATTTCTGTCTGTGTGTATGTGTGAATATGTACAGAGCTAAATACTTGTGGTCCGATTTTGTTCAAATTTGATATGTGAACAATCCATAGTCTCTCTAGGGATTTTTGAAAATTTTTTGAAAATTCGATTTTAATGGCGATTTTCCAATGAAAAACTGCTCTAACGAGGTATTGTAACTTTTATGAATTTCCCCATAAACTATCTTAATTACTTCCAACTCTTGCCAGGATAAGGGTTGTTGACAATCTAATGGGAGGGAAGTATGTTAGGTTAGCTGGTACCGTTTATTTTATTCCAAAAAGCACATCCAAACATCTGCATGTAGGATCAAACATCTCACATAGTGTATTTGTTTCAAAATTAGATTTCCTCCCCTAATTTTGAGCCTATTATTGTTGATATAAAAATGTAAGATGCTTTACTTCACAATTTGTCTTTTTAGTTTGGATTGCTTCAATCTCTGGAAATACGACAGAAATGAGTGTTTGACAGCAGGCAATTTTGTCGGCAGTTTATTACAACTACCTAAGTTTTTGTACCTGGTTAGCTGGTTACAACTTAAATACGGGAAAAGGTTGTTTACGTCTACACATTACACCGTTTTGCATCATGCCGGGTTAGGCTCATGGAACTCGATAGCCAGCATCCCATACAGTGGACCTGCATTGTTGGGGTGGGTATGTTTACCTGATTGTGGAGTTATTAACCCTCTCAACTCACCCCGTCCACCCTACATATTACCCCTAGCTGTTTCTGGGGTGGGTTACTGCACATTGATGGTTATTGCAGCCCTTCCGATATTGATTAATTGATACTGGCGTTTATTCTGCCCATTGGACCACTTGATTCAGTCAAAACTACAATGTCAGTGACATTTAGTTGGGAGATTGATTGGAACGGTTTGGAAGAAATGTACTTATTTTGAATTATCTATGGAATAATTTCAAAGATAAGAAAATCCCATGTTTTATTTTGTTTACAACATGCTTGACAACATACAAAATCATAAATCGGTTATAAAACTGGAACAGTTCAATATATTTCCCATAAGAATAACACTATTCACATACCTTAAGAGTCGGAATGTACAGAAATATATTTAGTATGAAAAAATAATTTTTGTATACAATTATCCTACGGAGCTGGTACCTTGATACATACGTACAATAAACGTAAATTGCATGTGTAATTAGTTACATAAATTGACTTAAAATAGAATTTAAAAGCAACGAAAACAATAGAAAGAAATAAGATATTGTTTTACAAATTGTTGTACAAAGTTAAATTAGTTTATAAACTTCCATCTAATATTTAGACGCGACTTTTCAATATTTGATGAATACTCACCAATTCATTCTACTTAATTACAAATAATTATTTAAAGGCCTAATGTTCGTTTTCCAAAAAATGTGATGAAAACAAGATACTTGTTTTTCTCTTGGAATGTCGTCTCATCTTCACGAGAATAACATTTTTTAGCGAACAGACGCTTATTATTATGTAAAACCTTTACACTGTCGGAAACGAACAAGAAAATCTTTATGATGACTTGTTCTAAACATAGATATTATGGACCGTAAATAAATACAAGCTGGTGATGTTGCAAACATATTTACACTGGTTTAACAGTTATTCATATAATAATATGAAGTAGCGACATTGGCAACCATAATCGTTTTATGCCTATACAGTAAAATTAAATGGGGGGGAGGGGTTTTTTTTTCGTGTAGGGGTTTTCGTGCCTTGAATATTATTAACTGTGAGATAATATTCTTTTTTTGCCTTTCATAAAGATTTCTTTAAGAACAACTCCTAAACTGGTTGAATGAATTTTGAAATAGGTATATGCCATCTTACTGAGTAAATAGAAATACGGACCTGTATCAACACAAAATAAACCATTTCTTACTTAGTAAAATATTAGGTAAAACGTTGGTTTAATCGTTTACGAAATTGATGAAAGCCTTACGCCTGCGTACTAAATTGGTCGGATTGAAATTAATTTTACTAGTTTAAAAAAGTCTATACACGCATTTACCTGATATGTAATTAATTATTTCATTCTTGTATGATTGTCAATGGCGATACTTATAAAAATATGGAAGTGACTATATTTCATGGCCGATCTTATTCAATTGTCGGAAATAGCTTTATATTATCCACCAAAAAACGTTACCCTGATTTTTAACCGTCTATGCCCTAGCTTGTCTATATAAAGCCTGTAAACAAGGTTTAAACATATAAAACCCGCCTAGGTTACAACATGCAGTTAGATTTCTGAGCTAAAATCCAAGTTAAGGTAATAAACGAAATCCAGGGTTTTAATTATCTTAAATTTCTGTGTACTAATATTTAAAGCCTAACATCTAATTTTTTTATTGTTCATAAACAATTTCCAAAGGAAGAAATTCTACCAAAGTAGCTTGTGAATCATCAGTATTTACCAATATTAAAATTTTAAAGTTTTCTCTAAGATGTAAAATTGTATAGGAACGCAACAAGAGGGTTGGTAAAGTGTTGGTGAACAGGTGTCGATCCCTTACAGCTCCTCATGTGGCTCGTAAACCCACGCGACGGGAAATACTAAATGAAAATAAAAATACAGTGATCTTCATTGGTTTATTTTTCGAGTCTAACGAAGTAAACTATTTTATGTACTGTTTTTGACATATTTAAGAGATACTTTGTGCCCCAGATATTTTATGTTGTCTACAAAATCAAATTAGGGAAGGGTTCGTTAAGTACACTTTTAAAAGCAAGTTAAGTAAGGTTGCGATATGTTTTATTTCGAGTTCAATATTTGTATTGGCTGTTTTATTTGCTAATTTTTTATTGCCAACAAAATATTTTGCATATTGCCATTTATATAACATTTTGAATTGCAACTGTATTATAAATTATATTCTGTGATGGAAAGGAAAATATGCATTCCTTATGATTGAAGGAGTTACTAAGTTATGTAATTAAGACAGTTATATTACAAAGAAATATATTTGAAATTATTTTAGTACTAACTTGTTTACGAATTATTTATAGAAGTATTTCCAGGCGACATTTCATCATTTCATGTCATCAATGAAATTTAATGCTTGCAATGTTCAAAAGTGGATATCATTAGCGTGAAAGTCCAAGTTTTGTTTAAAACGCCGTTTTTTATGACATGATTAAAAATGAAATTTCAGATGATGTGCTTAAGTGATTGTATTCAACGTGAGTTAATCATTGTTTTAAGAGCTATTTGGTCTTGTAAAACGGGTTGATTGTTTTTCATAAAACCTAATACAAATTATTATTTTCAGGACTCACTGAAACTTCAGAATAACACAGTTTTCTTCAACCGACCAACATCAGCTTAGATTGTGAGTAAATTTAGATAGTTTTTAGGTTACCGAAATTACTCTTGATTAACTATGCATGCATGTAGCTATTCGTATGGAATGACATTTCAACGATGAAAATAATGAAATTGGAGAAAATTGGATCAAAGTGTCAAATATATATACATTTAAGTTTATTACAATTATCTAACTTAATATTTACTCGGTGTTTAAGCACCTATTTCGAATAGTGAATTTATCGGATATAATCAAACAATCCGTGAATCTCCGATGTGTGGCATTTGGCACTCTTTAAACATAATATTATTTACGAACATAAAAATACATACTTGATCGTGAAGAGAGTGTTGTGGCACTCTATGAATTAGAGGTGTACTCATTCAATAAATTATTCTGTTTGTTTACATAAGAAATCTATTTCCTACCCTACGGATAAATAAGATGGATGTTTGTATGGAAACTTTGATGGCCCATACTCCTCTCTTAGGCTTTCTGATCGAATGTGGCGTTATAATACTCAAAACAAAATACCGGAATTTGTAAACTTGATTTTTCAACCGATTGTGGAATTTCGAATTACAAGTAATTCAAGGCTATGTGGGACTTCGTTGTATTTGTCTGCAATCACAATTCTATTACTTTTTCAAAATTGTTTTCGTTGTCATACTTCAATCAGCTTTTTTTAAAAGGTGCGTAACCTAAGATGGCAATGAATAAAACATAAAATCAGCTGTATTAGAATTTCATTGTGCTTCTCTTACATGAACTATAAACAGATATTTGAAATATTTTAATTTTATAAAATATCTTAACTTTGCCAAAATGTGATGGTACAAACACGAAGGCTGGATTGCATAAATTGTGCTATGTAGGTTTTTAGTTTACAACTCTGAATGATCAAATCTGAACTCACAAATTTAATGTAAAGCAAATTAATTTATTTGCCATGAACCTTTTGAACCTACGTTTACTTTTTTTCTGTATACATAAGTCACGGTTTATGCAATTAATGGTTTATCTAATGCGATTCGGTTTATCTTTACACTTTTACTCGACTTTCGCCGAGAGTCAAGCGTCGACTATTTATTTAAAGGCGCGGGAAAAGCTGGTGTTACTGAACCATGCATAACTTTACCCGGGACAAACTTTAAATTTCTACATGCATTAATTAAGAGTTCACCTGCCATTTTTTACTCCATAACCTCTTTATAGCACATTTGTGACCGCAATGCCCTTGTACAGTCGAATTTTATTATCTTTTTGGTTTTTAACAAAGTTTTGAAGGTTTCTAGTAAAGTTGTGAACTAGTCGTGTAGTTAAACTGCTCGTGTGATAAAATATCAATATTAGTATTTGCTTTTGTAGAAATTTGAAAATTGAAGTGCGAAAAATGATTCAATCTTTAAATATTTCATAGGGTTTATTCTTCCCGGAAGATGATTTTTACCGATTGAATATTGTTGTTCATAAATATTGAGTATTTCGTTTTTGTATTGATTAGATTTTAGGGGTTTCAGTAAAGATATCTTTTGCTTCCTTTTCTATTTACGGTAAATTTCCTAAATGATTTATATAGTTTACAATCAATGAATATTTTTCATATAGTATTTGGGGTTATCAGTAACGATTTCTTCCACCGTTTACAGTCGTGAAATAGTTTTAAAGAGCAAGAAATTAAAAAAAAATCGTGTCAGATAAAAGTCATGTTTCAAATAATTTTTGAAAATCCCTTTGTGATTGATTAATTGTTTTAATTTGTTGCTCCTTTCCCAGGATCTTATTTTTGAATTTTATAGTTAATAATGTCTTCCACGACTATTGACTTATTAGTTTTAGTATTCATGCATGTAACTCTTGGTTGTTACAACTTTTCAGTCAATATTAAGTTCATAATACCAAATTGAAGGTTGAAAAGGAAACTGTGTCCTTATTAGCTCGTTTAAGAGCATCTAAATATCTAACCAAATTCTCTAGTTGTGTTATTTGAAACTGCTGATAGTCGAGTTCTGATAGTCGTGTCTTGATGGTCGTACTCGTAATTGTAAAGGTTTTTGCAGACCATTCCTCCAGCTAAATTAGTACATTTAATTGGAAGTACGAAGTTATGTTTGAAATCACAGGATTTCTGGCTAATGAAACCACGTTACCAATAACAGCTGGGGGGGGAAGGAGGGTAGGAGCAGCTTAATCCCAAGTTCGGGAGATTGAATATGGGAAGTTATTGATATTCGTACTCCTATTAGGAAAAGTTCAATTCTTTTACAATGACGATTCATATATACTTAAGAGATTTCAATTCCATTGGAAAGTTTATCGTCTCCGTAACAGTATGTGTGATCCCTTTTATTCGGACACCGCCAAAAAATAGAATACTAGTTAAGCATTTATTTGACATTTAAACTATGTTCTAATGCTAAATCTAACCACAACAGTTGGATAAAACAATATTGTTGGAAACTATTTTATTCTTTTGGTTTACAAAATGGAATCTCAATCTTAAATTAGCATGGTTTTAGTTAAAGTTTTGTATAATGTCATTACGGCAGATAATAACTAAAGTTTCGTATATTTCCTACATGTAACGAAGTCAACTCATAAATGCTCATGATAATGAGTTTTGAACTACACATAAATAAGCTTATGACCATTTACCATAAAGCCATTAGCCATAAAGAGTAGGTAATTGAAAAAAATATGTAAAACTAAAATCACCTGTTCCATTTATTTGTCAGTTTTGGTAGGCGTAATGCCAAAATATACGCTTGGTAGAATTGCATTTAAATTGAACTGGCAGATTGGAGTAAAACAAATATAAACTTAAATTGTTTAGCTGGAATAGTTGTTATTTAATCCTACGTGTTTAACGAAGTAAGAGGAGTAAAGGTAGTTACGTTTTCAATTTTAGATTCTGGAAAATTAATTAAAATTGCATTTCTACGAGTAACTGAGTAAAAACATTGATGTTTTTTGTTCCTAAAATTACGCCACATACAACACCATATTGAAGTAAACCTGCCACTTTTTACCCTGTCAGTTATTTTTAACAATGCTTTAAACTTTTAAATTGCTGCTTTCGTAACATAAGTTTTTCTGTTGTTTTATTTCTGAAAACAATCTAAATTAGATCGTACAAAATTTTACCGAGTGTAGAAGACTAGTGTTGCCAAGGACAGGGTAGATTGTTATATGTTTCATTTTGCCAGTCTTTAGTTGTCATATTCAATTAATGGGATAAATTGTGAAATCAATCTAAGATTTCAAATGAGTCCATGGATAGTCGGTTGGTTTCAAGTTATACGAAAAACTATTTCGCCTTAAGAAAACTGGGAAATAAGATAACCCCCTATTATGTAAGTATGGGTTAAATGTGCACAAAGACTAATAAATAAATTAATTAGTAATTTTATTTGTTTCTCTCTTACCAGTCTTACCTAAGGCAGGCTATAAAAATTTTAGATTATTTTTTCAATAAACGTGTTAATCTTTTAAAATGACTGACTACTTTAGTTGGATACGCTACCCAAAATTATGATCAGTTGCTTGGTTGAGGTAAAACACAAACAAATTACAAATCAGAGAGCTACTATGGGTCCTTTTTGGCGTTGCAGTTGCCAACTTATAATAAATTTGGGGCGACGATCAAAGGTCTAAAAGGCTTGATTCCCTCGGTTGTCGTTGGTAGATATGTAGTGGCAGGTGTAAGCCCGGCACATAGTATCAAAATATCGCGACAACGGGCTATTTCCATCCGACTCCGTTGTTCTGTGTGACCGCCGGCTCGCCGCCTCTTCTCCCTAGATCTTCTGATATCGTTTGATCGGGCAAAGAGTTTAATCACACTCTCTAGGTATTAATGTAGTCTTACCACGCTTCTAGATTATTCCGATATAGTCTTTTGTGTGGAATTTCTTATCGCGTTTCTGGTTTAATTGGATAGTTGTTAAAAGGTCTTATCGTATTCATAGGTTATTTGGATATAGTCTTTTGGGTGCAAGTTATCATGGCGTTCATAGATAAGTCCGATATAGTCTTTTGGGTGGAAGATCTTATCGCATCCATAGATTATTCTTATATAGTTTGTTGGGTGCAAGTTCTTACGGTGTTCATAGATGAGTATGATTTAGTCATTTGGGTGGAAGGTCTTATTGCATTCATAGATTATTCGGATAAAGTCTTTTGGGTGCAAGTTCTCATGGCGTTTGTAGATCAGTCCGATATATCCTTTTGGGTGGAGCGTCTTATCGCATTCACGGATTGTTCTGATAGATTCTTTATTGGGTGGGACTTAATAGATAAAACATAAATCTTACCACGTTTATGGATTAGTTCGATATAGTATTCAAGGTGAAAGATCTTGTCGCGTTCCTAGATAAGCTCGATATCGTCTAAAGACGATATACCGATAAAGACGATTCTACCTTAAAAGGTAGAAGATCTTATCTCGTTCCTGGATTTACCCGAGATAATTTATTGCGTTGAGATTTCATTATGCAAATCTATGCTCCAAATTCGTCTACATCGTGTGATTGGACATTACCCTATCAAACCTTTTCAGGTATTTCGATAAATTTAAATAGAGCCGTATAGCACTCAAAATTCCTACCGGTAAACGATTGGTACCGTTAGTACAAATACAAAATTTTAAATTTACAAAAAGTAGGTTTTTGCTTAGTCTTGCACAGCTATTAATGATAATACTTCCTTATTATATACATGTTTTGTAAACACCTTTTATAAATATATTTGAGAAAACTTTCTTAATGAGGCAGTTCCATTTTATGTTTCCATGAAAGATGCTCTATATCATATCCCTCAAAATATCTTTTATTTTTCTCTCAACATTTTCAAATTGTTTGATTTTAATTATCATCTTCCCTTTGTTAAATATAATTGCTATTATTTAAATATAAGGCTGTAAGACTATAAAACAGTCAACAACATATTATGTCAGTGAATTTGATGAATCAGGTTGATCATTTGAATCACAAATTACCTTTGCTAACCTTTGAACTGTCAATTTT